CCCCTCCCCAGGGGCCCCGCCCAGCCCCCACCCACACCCACACCCTGGGGCGCACCTCCTCCCACCCACCTCAGGCACCTCGGCGGGCACCTCGGCCTCGGCCTCGGCCTCGCCCTTGCCCGGGGACCCCCGACCCGCGACCCGGCCACGCGGAGCCCGCGGGCGTCTCCTCCAGGAACCCCTGGCCTGGCCTCCCTGGGCCAGAAGGGCCGCGCGCAGGGCGCAGGGCTATATAAAGGGCCGGCTCCCGGCTCCCGTGGTGCCCTGCGCGTATCTGCATATCTCCCGGCAGCCCCTGCTTCCGGAAGTGAGGGCGGGGGGCACGCGGCCGGGGCGGGCCCTTGCCCTTCCCGCGTGGCCGAGCTCCGTGGGTGTGCGTTTGTCCCGGTGTCAGAACCTGCTCTGTTTTCAATTCCTCACGTTGTTAACAGCTTTCTCTTTTGTGGTTCATCTTTGACTTTTTCAGCAAGGACATCAATGAACGCTTTTTGTGTTTTTAAAAATAACTAATTTCATTTGTTGTTATTTTTTGTTTGCTAAAGGGCATGTGCACTCACCAGGGTGCAGCCTAGAGAGGGAAGTGTCAAAGCCAGCGCCTGGTGGGAGCCCAGCTCCTTAGCCACCCCCCCCCCTGCTGGCCCGTTGCTTTTCAAGGAGAATTATTTTGCAAGCTTTTTCAGGGTCACAAGGAAACCGAATGTCCCATAAACCTCCTGCCCTCACTCACATGCCCGCCTCTTCTGGTGTCAGCGTCCTGCTCCAGTCTGCCAACCTCACCCACACACCCTTGTCACCCGGAGTCCAGTTTTCATTAGGGTTCACTGCAATATACATCTTTTTTTAAATTTTTCTTTTTTTGGAGAGGTTTTTGCCATAGGGCACTTGTACTCGCCAGAAAGACAAGAGAGAGACAGAGAGGAAATGAGAAATCACCCCCAGGGGGGATGGCCACGCCGCAATCCCTTCTCCTCCATCCTCTCGGGATCTTGGGCACACATGCACACGTGCCCGGTGTGAGTTTAAGACACTGAGCCCGGGACTCGAACTGCAGTTGACTATATGGGAGTCCAGCGACAGCCACTACGCTAACTGCTGGTCCCACATCCTTTTTTCTTTTAATTGCCGGAGGGCACATTCACTCATCAAAGAGAGAGAGAGAGAGAGAGAGCACTTCTCAACGGTGTGTGGTCAGGCCACAATCCCTTCTCCTCCACTTCTCCATCCATTGGGATTTGAGGTACACATGCATGTGAGCACAGTGTGTTTCCAAAACTGCTGGGCTGGGATCCAAACCATGGCTGGCCATGAAGATCTGGCCCTGTAACTACTAGGCCACAGGGCCAGCCTTGATGACGTACATTCTATGGGTTTGGACAGATGTACGCATAATAATATACCCGCCATCGTAGTATCAGGCAGCATAGATTTTCGGCCCTCCAAGTCCTATGGTCCACCTCTTCATCTCTCCCTGCTTCTTGGCCCCTGGCAGCCACTGGCTTTCTCAGTGTCTCCACAGTTTTCCTTTTCCGGAATGCCACACAGGTGGGCTCATACACTAGCCATTTCTGCTTCTTTTCCTTAGTAATATGTGTTTAAGATTCCACCATGGCCTTGGTTACTTTTTTTTTTTTTTTTTTTTTGGTAAAGGTGTTTGCCCTTAGGGCATGTGAGCTCACCAGAGATACAGAGACATGAAAGGCAAAGTGAGAAGTCACTTCCCAGGGAGGGTGGCAATGCGTGATCCCTTCTCCATTCTCCTCCTGGGGGTCTTCACACGCACACATACACACCTGGAGTGAGTTTCAAGCTACTGGGTCTGGGATTCAAACTGTGGTTGGCCGTGTGGGAGTCTAGTGATGTAACTGCTACGCCATCTGCTGGTCCCAGCTTTGTTATATCTTGATGGCTCGGGACCAGCGGATGGGGGAATGGTTACACCACTGGACTCCATGCAGTCGGCTGCAATTTGAGTCCTGGACCTGGTGGCTTATAGCTCACACCAGGCGCGTTTTCGTCCATGCCCAAAATCCTGAGAGGAGAATGGAGGAGAAGGGATTGCGGCGTGGCCACCCCCTCCAAGGAGTGACTTCTCGCTTTCTGTCTCTCTGTCTCTCTGTCTCTCTGTCTGTCTGGAAAGCACACACTCCATATAGCAAAAATCTCCTGAAAAACAACAAATACATCTTGATAGCTCTTTTCTTTTTAGCATTGAATAATATTTCATTGTCTAGAGGTATAGTTGATCCACTTTCCTACAGAAGGACTTCCTGGTTGCTCCCAGGTTTTTGCAGTTATAAATGAAGTTTCTATAAACTTCTGTGCAAGTATCTGCAGACATGTTTTCAACTCTCGCTTAAACACGAAGGCGATCCTTGCCGGAGTGAGCGCTGAGAGTATGTTTAGTGCGTGGGAGCTGCCAGTCTGTTCCCGAGTGGCTGGCCCACCTATCTCCAGCAGGGAGTGTGAGCCCCTGCCGCTCCACCCCGCTGCTGTTCGGTGGGGCTTTGGTCATTCATTCTATTAATACTGGACATACAGTGGATCTTGTTTTAATTTGCAATTCCTTAATGACATATGATGTTCTTTTAATCCGATAGGAATGTCATAGCCAAAATACCACAGACTGCATGACCTATAGACAACGACAGTTTCTCACGGTTGTGCAGGTTAGAACGCCTGAACTTGATGCACCAGAAAATTCGGCATCTGCTAAGGGTCTGCTTTCTCGACAGCTGAAGGAAGGAAAGATCTCAGCAGGGTCTCCCACTCTTTCTTTTTAATTTTCCAGAGGCACATGAGCTTGCCAGAGAGACAGAGAGGGAGAGGGAGAAAGTACCTTCCCAATGGGGCCTGGTCACACCACGATTTCCTCTCCACTTTTCACCCTGTTGGGTTCTGGGGTTAGGGCTAGGGTTAGGGCTAGGGTTAGGGGTTAGGGGTTAGGGTTAGGGCTAGGGTTAGGGCTAGGGTTAGGGGTTAGGGGTTAGGGTTAGGGCTAGGGTTAGGGCTAGGGTTAGGGGTTAGGGGTTAGGGTTAGGGCTAGGGTTAGGGCTAGGGTTAGGGGTTTGGGTTAGGGCCAGGGTTAGGGGCTAGGGTTAGGGGCTAGGGTTAGGGCTAGGGTTAGGGTTAGGGTTAGGGCTAGGGATAGGGCTAGGGTTAGGGTTAGGGTTTGAGTTTAGGGATAGTGTTAAGGTTAGGGTTAGAGTTTAAGGATAGTGTTTGGGTTGGGGTTAGGGTTAGGGTTTAGGGATAAGTTAGGGTTAGGGTTAGGGCTAGGGTTAGGCTAGATTTGGGGTACGTGCGTACATGTACCGGTGACTCCTTCAAGCCACAGAGGATCCAGAGGCTACAGGACTGCTCTATTTGTTTTTGTTTTTAAGAGGTTTTTGCTATATGGACACGAAAGTCTCACTAACTCTCCTTTACCGATGTTTTGTTTTTTTACTCTAGGGTACGTGCCCTGCCAGGAGAGACAGTGAGGAACAGAGGGAACGTGAGAGACCACTCCCCCAGTTCCCGGAGGACGGCCATGCCGCAGTCCCTTCTTCATTCTCCTCTTGGGCTTTCAGCACACACGCACATCCCAGGGTGTCTTCCAGGCCATCAGGCAAGTGCAGAGAGCCCTAAGTTCCCCAAGGGCTGGAGCGGGAGTGCTGGCTGAGACCACGAGGCGAAAGCGGGAGCTCCACGCCCTGCCCTCCAGCTCTTGGCAGGTGGTGTGTGTCCTACAGTGCTCTGCACAGATCCAGGCTCAGAGAACATTCCAGAGATATTTGTGGGGTGGAGCAGCTTCAAGACGATTCCTGCTTGTGCATGGGCTCCCTGACCTCGTCCTCGGGGTGGCTGGCTGCCTCCCTCCCGGGCCTGGTTCCTCCCGGGCACAGGATCCCGTCATCCGGGTCTTACCTAAGCAGCACAGGCTGTGCCAGGGAGAGCGCCGGTCGGGCGCAGCCTCAGAGCCCTCCGTGATGACCCAGCAAGCGCCCGACCCCAGTAGAAGAAGTGTCTGGACCATCGGGTGGCTCTCCTTCCTGGAAGCTGCTGGAACAATCAGGACCGGGAAGAGATTACAGACCCGTCGCCAGGTCGCAGGCCTGGGGTTTTACACAAACAAGCCTATCACTGCTCTCACATTACGAAGCGAAGCTGGCGCGCCGGTCTGTGTCTGCATGGGGCACTGAGGGCCCAGATGCAGCTGCATCTTTATTGGCTCTTCCTGCCCGTCCCGCACAGCGACGGAGAAGGAAACGGACATCTTCGTATTTTTCTTGCATAAATCCTGCACAGATGGCTCTTCAGAGATTCCGCCCGCTGCTGCAGGAAATCCTGGCCCGGACGCAGGTCGTCCAGGCTCTGGGAAGCCACCTGCTCATTGATCTTCTGTATGAAGGGTTCTGCTTGTTTATGAACTTGCCCCATAAAATCTGAGTCGTGTTTCCTAAAGGAATAGTGTGGCCTACAGACACAGACAAATAATGATTCTTTGACCAGCTCCTGCTGGCAGAC